ATAATTTATATATATATATATATATATATATATATATGTTTTCTTGATTTTTCTAATTTACATCATTAGGTTTTATAGTTTATTTAGCATACTATGAATGAAAATATATTTTACAGTAATTTCATTATGGAAAGAAATTAAAATAAAAAATAATAAAAAAATTAATCATTGTTGACAATAGTATACATATAAATCACATGTTGCAATTCTAAAGAAGGGTTAATATATTTTCATTTCTATTATATGGCCATTAGTCTATTAAATGTATTTGGTCATTATCTCTTAAATGGTAAATTATATTAATTGAAGGAATTATTTGTCTTTTATAATTAATTAAATTTACGAAAAAAAATCGTAATTGACAAATATTAATTCACCATTTTGATTTTTCCTGATTAATTGGAAGGAAATATTTATCTAACCTGTAATGATTTTCTATAAATATTTTAAGACGAAAAGTCAATATTTGTGAAAAAAAAGTAATAATATGATTAGAACTTTGGGTAACCATACCTGGTCAACTGGACTGGGGAAGCAACCAGACCGAACCGGCCGGATCACCGGGTCGAAGGGAGAGATAGGATCGCTCGAGTCGATAGACTCTCTAGTCGAAGAAAGGACTAGAGGTTAGGAGATGCCAAAAGGTCGAGTGGAGGCTATCCGGAAGACTGGTCAAAGGTCAAAGGGAGGGGGGATCTGATCGAATGATTAACCAGAAGGACAGGACAATGAAGCTTATTGTCGATGACACCTTACCTGAAGACAATAGGGGTCGAGTCCGCGATTAGATCACTTAATGGGAAGAGCTAAAAGATAAAAAAGAATCTTAGGGGAATTAAACCCCTCACATGGGTAAAACCATGTGGCACCACCTGAGTGATCCACGCCTTGTAACCACCTCTGAAGGCCCGGATGACTCTAACAGTTCTGACAATCAAGGTTGCTCACGCGCTCGCTGGTGGAGAGCTCACGCGCCCGACTTGGGCCTTAAAGTATCTTCTCCCTATAAAAGGGAATGAGGTATGACTGAAACATATTACATTATCTCTCTATTATACTTAGCATTTTTCCAGAGAGTTTTCCTCATTGCATTTCATCTTCTACACTTACTTAGGCATCGGAGGCTCTTCACCAGAGATCCCCTCCGGTGTGAGAGTTCTGCCGGTTCGAGGATGTTCAACTAGCGATCCTTCCAATTTCAGGTGTTTCTAGCTCATTCCAGCCAGTCAGAGGTCTTTTTGATACCAGAACTTAAAATATGTTTTCATGTTTATCTTGGCCAAAATATTATCAACATGAATAACGAAAAATCAATTTGTAGTTTATATAATGACCAAAATATTGTAATTTATATATTAAGGCGAATTATGAAATATGAGATTTGATAAATAGATGTTAAGACGGGTTATGAATTATCAACACAGGAATTTTTGTCTTGCATATTAGTTTAAACTAATCCGCTGCGTCAAATTGAAAGGATCACAATTGAGACGTCTGAAGTTTGATACTTGTAAGCCAAGTATCCAGAGTTGCATACAATTTAACCAAACTGAATTAAATGAAGATTCAAACAATTGCGGAAGCAGTTTCACTGAAAATTGAACCTTCAGAGGAGCGTCCCACTCTCCCTTCGGATCTTTTTTATTAATGCATACGTCTCAAACACTCTTCAAGGGTTTACAGTATAGACTCTCTCTACACTCTACTTGAACAGTGATTTGCACTAGTACTTATCTGACCACAAATCCCTTGTGGCTTTTCTAGTTCGAATCCCTCAAACTATAACAGAATGAACCCCCGAACACTCTGTTCTTTTTCCTTGACAATAATAATCTCACACTAAAAACACTCAACAAAATAAGAATCCTCACAAAGGAATTATTTCGATCAGAAAAATTCAAGTCATAAAAAAAAGGTGCTCCTCAACATAGTCTCGTCGTCCTTTTATCCACATCCTCAAATGGTAAGTTCTTCCTTTATCTTCCCAGCCAAGTCATATCATACTTTGGAAAGTCCAGATTGCTCAATTCGGATCTCGCATATTATGGTAAGTAGGTGCACATGGAAGGTGATCATAGATGGAGTGACTCACGATCTCTCCTTCATGAGTATGGAAAGTGAATCTCGAGCTTATTCCTAAAGTCATGGCATCACAATTATGAATTATCAATAATAAACTCTAATTAGCAAACACGTTTAAGCAATTTAAATTAAACTTTCCTTATATATATTCTTGCGATTTTCTGAATCCTGGGAACTCAAGAAGGTTCGTCGATTTACTGCCAATCTTCGGAATTTACAACGTCTATTCTGACTGTCATGAAGAACCAAAGAAGACACTCATGTGATGTTGCTGAGAAACATTGATCACTTCATGGGGTTGTGCAATAGTACACGTTTGGTTATTAC